TGGTCTCAAACTCACTGTGATCCTCCTGCCTCAGCCTCCCGAGTGCTGGGATTACAGGGATTACAGGCATGCACCACCACACCCGGCTTTGTTGTTTTCTAAACTTTGATGTTAACAATATGAGTTGGTGGTATTTGCTACCAAGTTACAATAAGCTAGAATGGTCAGATGGATGCTGCTTAGTGGTGCCATGCCTGTGGGGCAAGCACAAGGTCCTAAATTTGACTCCTGGTACCAGAAAAAGAAAAGAAAAACTTAAGCTAGAATGGTCAGAAGGGAAGTAAGAGATGAATTAAGTTGCTTCTCTGGGCCCACTAAGAAACAAACAAAACAAGATTTGTGCCTTTTAAATTGAAATCAAAACTTGAAGTAATAAGAGTAATAACTGAACAATAATAAATACTAGGCCCTTTGAAGTTAATTTTTAATAGTTAAATCCTAGATTTCGGTGCATTTGAATTCTTGTTTCCAGGTTGGTGTCATTTTACCATTTTTTTCTTTTCCTTCCTCCCTTCTAGAAAGAATTGTGTGAATGTTCTGATCACCACCACCCAACTGGTTCCAGCCCTGGCCAAGGTTCTCCTTTATGGACTAGGAGAAATATTTCCTATTGAAAACATCTATAGTGCTACCAAAATTGGTATGGTTTCTATTCTTTTTCTCATCACTGGCTTTCCAATAAAACTTTCTACTCAGCTTGTATATGTAGCACTATCCATATAAGTCATCAAATGTTTCTGATGAGGCAGTTGAGACTTAGCAGTTACATTGCTTGCTCAAGGATTCACAGCTAGTAAATTACATAAATATGCTGCTTTCTTTTATAGTATTTGAAAGAACATAATTTCTAGCTTAGAAATCTATTTTTACCTCATGTCAAATTTCTCTTTCTCACAGAAAGTATGTAGTGTGATAGAAAAAAAAACACTGGGTTAGAAATCAAAGACTAAATTATATACTTAAAAATTCCTATCAAAAAACAGAAAATAAGAAGTGTTGGCAAAAAGTATGGGAGAATTGGAACTTTTGTGCACTGTTGGGATTTTAGAGTGGTGCAACTGCTATGGAGAACAGTATAATGGTCCCTCAAAACAATTAAAAATAGAACTATTGTATGATCCAGCAATCCCATTTCTGGGGAAATACCCAAAAGAATTGAGTTTCATAGTTTTCAGTTGTGTCCAAACGTCCAGAAGCTGGATATCAAAGAAATACTTATCCATACAGGTTCATAGCAGTATTATACACAGTAGCCAAGAGGCAGAACAATCCAGTGTCCATTAGTGGATGTATAACCAGAATGTGGTGTCCCATACAGTGAACTGTTATTCAGCCTAAAAGGGAGAGATCCTGTCACATACTGCAATTTAGATGAACCTTGAAGATAATATGCTGAGTAAATAAGGCTGTCACAAGAAAACAAATACTGTATGATTCTCCATATGAGGGACTTGAAGTAGTGAAACTCATAGGAACAGAAAGAATAGTTGTTACTAGGAGGGTGCAAGTGTGGAACTGTCTAGTGGATCTAGAATTTCAGTTTTGCAAGATGATAAAGTTCTGGAAATTTGTTGCACAGCAATGTGAGAATACTTAACACTGTTGACCTCTATATTTGAAAATTATTAACATAATAAATTTTATGTTATGTACTTTTTAACTTTGATTTTAAAAAACTAAATGTTAAATTAGTAAATTTTATGTTATGCTTTTTTTAAAAAAGAGGTGGCATCTTACTGTGTTGCTCAGGTTAGCCCTGAACTCTTTGAATCAAGCAGTCCTCTTGCCTCAACCACTCGAGTAGCTGGGACTACAGGCTTGTGCCACTGCATCTGGCTGTTAGACACATTTTGCACAGGTTTGAAACGTGAAATCCAGGACCAAGATTCAAGTCTTCTTGGCTCCCCCACTCACTAGCTCTTATCATAGGCAAAATGTCCTTTTCTTCAGCCTCCGCTTTCTCATATGAAATAAGAATCTATGAGGCAAGTTGCAAAAATCAAATGAAACTGTAGATCAAGGTTCTTTTTAACTCCCCCAAATGTATTTAATAAGTACATGAAATGATGAGTTCTTAGTAAGTACTGAGTGAATTACTTGACCCCAAGTTTATACAAAACAAGTTTGTGCAGCTGGAAAAGAGCCAGACTGTCCCGCTCTATTCCTTGTGTGCTGTATGTGATCCAGGGAGAGAGGGGTAAGGCAGCCACTCCCTTACCCTGTCCCTTCACTCTGTATGTATAGTCCCTACTTCCCTGGAGTTTAAAGATGAGCCCTGGTTATTTTTTCATCTACTGTATGCCTGTTGATCAGCTTTCTCCACTAAAAAATGCATCTAATATTTTTAATGTTCCAGCATCTGTAGAGATCATAAATGAGCCCATCAGATCCTGTTAACATTTTCCTTCCTCTCTCTCTCCTTCAGACATTTACTGACCCCCTTTTATGTGTCAAGCATTGTTCTAAGAACTGGGGATACATGGTGGGGGATGCCCTTAATGGGAGGACACAGTCCATAGAGAAACAAAAGATAGCAGATGGTAACAAGTTCCATGGATAAAAACATCAGAAGACAAGTTAGGGTCATGTTGTTTGTTTTTTGCAGCTCTGAAGATCAGGCCCAGGGCCTTGTACTTGGTGGGCAAGCACTCTACCACTGAGCTACCTCCCCAGCCCATAGGATTGCTACATTTTAAGTTAGGGATAGGGCTCCATGAACAGGTGTGTTTTGAACAGTGACCTAAAGAAAGAAGTGAGCCATTAGTCCGTATCTGAGGAAAGACCTACCAAGAAGAGGAAGGAAAAAATGGAAAAGGTTGGAGGCACGTTCAGGGATGTGCAAGGAAGAAAAGAATAGTAAGAATAGGGTCCAAGAGGTTAAAGGAAAGGGTGGAAAAGATACTGTAGAATGTAGGTTTTAAGAAGAGAAGTGACATAATCTGATTTACACAGATCAGTCTTGCTGCTGTGCACTAGGAATACATAGTGACAAAATCCTCTATTTCAGTCATTGCTGCTAGGATAACTGGATTATCCATATGGAAGAAAGGCACAGTTATTTTCCTTCCTTCCATTTGCAGAAATAAATTCCAGATAGATTCAGAACTTGACATGGAAAGCAAAACTTTTTCAGAATAAAATATAGAAGAGTATCTGTGTGATTTTAAATATCTTTTACATGAGACAAAAGATATTATTAAAAACAAGTCATTAAGGCATAGATGGGGGAAGATATTTTGAATACATTTGAAAATTAATATACAGAATCTATAAAGAACTTATGCCAATCAGCAAATAATCAGTTTTGCCTGTAGAAAAATTGGCAAAAACTGGGCTGAAGCAGGAGGATCGCTGTGAGTTCAAGGCCAGTCTGAATTACATAGCGAGACCCTGTCTTAAAAAACAAAAATAGAAGGGGCTGGGGATTTAGCTCAGTGGTGCTGCCTCTTGCCTCGCAAGTGCAAGGTCCCAAGTTCGATCCCTGGTACAAAAAAAAAGAAGAAAGAAAAAAGAGGGAAAAACTAGAAAAATAAGCAGAAAAATAGGCAAAAACTTTTGAATAGTTTGTAGAAAAGAAACACCAAACTGCCAGTAAGCATGAAAATTTTTTAACAGAATATGCAAATTAAGGAAGTGCAGATTTAAAATGTTGAGCTTTTCTCTCCTGTCAGACAGAAATTCAAATCTAGTGTAAAGTCTGTTAAGCTTTGTTACTCTTCAGGTGGGATTGAAAATAGATGTAACCTTTTTTAGAGAACAGTTTATTACTGCCTAATATAATGTGACCAAGCAGTTGATCAAGCAGTTCCATATATGTACACACATGTACAGACTTCAGAGCAGAGGTCTGCAAATTACAACCCATGGGCCGCATCTTGTCTCCTGCCTGTTTTTGTAAGGTTTTACTGAAACGTAGGTTTACCCATTCATTTATGTAGCTGCTTTCACACTGCAATAGCTAAATTGAATAACTGCCCCAGAGACTATCAGGCCTGTAAAGCCTGAAATATAAATATATACTCTTTGATTCTTTGCAGAAAAAATTTGTTGATCCCTACCATTGAATAATTCTCACGTGCATAATGAGACATGTGCAGGGATTTTTTTTTTTAATGTACCAGGGATCAAACTCGGGTCCTTGCGCTTGCGAAGCAGGCGGCAGAACCACTGAGCTAAATCCCTGGCCTTGCAGGGATTTTTTTGATACAGCCTTGTTTATAGTAGGAAATAATTGAAAAAAAATTGTCTGTGAACCTGTCTATAAGCAAAATATAAATAAACAGAAAGTCAAACAATAGAATATTATATTACAGTTAAAAGCAAAGACTAGGGCTGAAATATATCTTAGTGAAATAGCACTTACCTCTCATGTGAAAAGCCCTGCATTCAATCCCCAGTGCTGCAAAAATAAAAAAATAAAAAAAAGTGAATAAACTCAAATGATGAGGATGAATATAAAAACCAGTGTTGAACATATACAAAAAAATTACAAATAGACAATGTAGAGTATTACATAATATTTTTATAAAAGTTTTAAATGTGTACTTTTCAGAGGTACTTAGGAAATTTTAAGTAAGTCTGTAATCTTATTCATGGCTTTTTAATCTTAAAACAATGGTGAAGATTTGGCAAAACTGAGTTGGTAGTAGGTAGGTATTCAAGTATTTGGGTTTCTTATTCTCCATGCTTTTTAATATGGTTGAATGTCTCATTTACAAGGGCGAGGGTACCAGGAGAATGGGCTTGAAAGCTCCCTTCAGATCACTGTCGCCACTGCTGCTTTACTGTGCACCTCATGGAAGCCCAGAGCACTCACTCTGAGCCCCCGCTCCTGACAGGTAGATTTTCTGGAGTGCTCACAATACTGAGTCCTGGCATCCACAGGCTCATCAAGCTAATAGAAATGATTTTCTTCCTTCTGACAGTAAGTGTGCTTATTTGGTGATTTTCCTCAGTCTTATTTCATCCAAAGCTACTTTGTGAGGCTGCAGTGGGACCTGGTGCCATGGTAACCAGCAGGAGGTTTGAGGTTTTCACAGAACTGTGCAAGGGGAACAAGAGAGGAGGTACTGTTTCAGTTCCTCTGAAATGATTTCAAAAGTGTAAGTTCTCTTGGGCTGGAGATGTGGTTCAGTGGTAGAGTGCTTGCATAATGTGTAAAAAGCCCTGGGTTCAATCCCTAGACCATGAAAAAATATAGAGTTCTCCAAAAAAAACTGTATACACACTTCAGCAGTTCACTGCACTCATAAATGTCTGGAAGCTAATGGCCACCACTTTGAGAACCTTTTGTAATTGTAGGGGTTAAAGTTAATTTGTATTAATCTCATGATGTCTTTTTTTTTTTTTTTGTGTGTGTGTGTGTGTGTGTGTGTGTGTATTTTGAGACAGGGTCTTGCTTTGTAGTACAGGAGGCTGTCCTTGAACTCACTTTGTAGTCCAGGCTGGCCTCGAACTCTTGGCAGTTCTCCTGCCTCAGCCTCCCAATTGCTGGGATTACAGGTGTGCACCACCACACTTGACTCAGTAAATTTAGTATTAAAATATTTATACAAAATTTTCTCTTCATGATGTGTATACATTTTTTTGGTGGACTATGTATATAGTTCTGTGGTTACGCTGTGATCTTGGACGTAAAAGAGAATTAATTCTCAATCAGCCAGGCGTGGTGGTGCCTGGAACTCACACTCCGAACTCAAAGGAGGATCGCTGAGTTCGAGACCAGCCTGGGCTACATAGTGAGTTCCAGGTCAGTCTCAACTACGTAGTGAGAACCTGTCTCAACGCCCCCCCCAAAAAAAAAGAATTCTCAGAATCAAAGTGTCAGCCATGCTTTTTGTTTTTAGCATTGGGGATCAAACCTCAGGTCTTTGTGCTTGCTAGGCAAGGCTAGGTTTTTTTGTTGTTATTGTTTTGTTTGTTTTTGTTTTGTTTTTGATCAGCCATGCTTTTGTTAGAGGGAACCCAGGAACTAATTATTCTCCAAAGGTTTGGTTGGTCTTGTGGTTCACTAGTTTCAGTGCTGGACATTGGGTAAACTGACTTGTCATTGGCTTCATCCTCCTGAACAAGAAAGCACATATCCACAGTTCTTTTGAGAGATACATGAAAGTATTTTAGGGCTGGGGATTTAGCTCAGTGGTTCTGCTGCCTGCTTCACAAGCACAGGGTCCCATGTTTGATCCCTAGTACCAAAAAAAGAAAAAGAAAGTATTTTGCCAACTTTGGAGTCATGTTTTTGTGTCCATAGTCCTATAATTGCTACTTCACCTCAGGCTGTTAAGAACTCTTTTAGTCTCTTAATTCGTTCAGAGGGGACGTGTTCTCCCGTGTATTTCATCACTGATCAGTGCATGCCAGGGCAATGAAAATGTCTCTGTGTCTTTGTCCCTAAAAGCGATGTTCCTTTTGCTGGGTCTTAGGAAAGTTTTAAATCCCAGTCAGAAGTTCTCTTCTATAGCCAGTGATGACAAACCTTTTAGAGATGAGTGCCCAACTGCAACCCCAAACCCACTTATTTATCACAGAGTGCCAACACTGAAATTAAGCCTGAACACTGAGGTTTTAGAAACAACACATATTTTAACATCTTTTGTCTTAAAAGAAAACACAGGTGCCATACGTTTGCCATCACCATTTCAGAGTTTTCAGCGATAACAAGCAGCTGGCTGTGGCACATAGGCCATAGGTCTGCCACCACTGCGATAGATGGATCATATTAGCCTGTGGCTCTGACAGAGGTCAGCCTAATTTATAAAGCTGTAATGGGTGGAATGGAATTAGACAAAGAACTCTTCACCTAGGCGTGGTGGCACACACCTGTATTCCCAGCACTCAGGAGGCTGAGGCAGGAGGAAAAACTCAAACTATGAGTTTGAGGCCAGCTTAGGCTACCTAGTAAGTTCAAGGCCAGACTGAACAACATAGTGAGGCCCTGTCTCAACAAAACAAACAAAAAAACTCTGATGCTTTGAACATACTAAGAATTCACTATTGAATTATTTAATGTTTGAACTAAGTTGTAGCTCAACACGTGGACCACAGTCTTCCACTGAGTCATTTGTAAGCTCGGGAAACATAGTTGAATTCTGCATAGCAGTATAAAGAATGGCTATGCTACCATGAAACATTAGCACTGAAAGCACCTAAGTGCTCCTAAGTCTAGCTTTGTGTTCCAGGTAGAAGACTGAAACCCATAGTGGATTAGTGTTTGATCTAGGACATTGGTCCATCTGGTTGGGGGTGCCACTCTGGCCATAGATTTCAGACATTTGCAGTTGCTCAGAAGTGCCAAGCAAAATGACTTCTGAGTGTGGAAGTGGGGTTCTTGTTCATTCCTTTATACAGTAAGGCAAGACATGGTGGCTCACACATGTAATCCCAGCACTCCTGAGGTGGGAGAATCATTGCAAGTTCAAGGCCAGCCTGGACTGCATAGCATAGCCCTGTCTCAAAAAAAAAACAAACAAACCTTTCTACAGTAAGTACCTGACTTATGAACAAGTTGCGTTCCAGAAGAACATTCATAAGTCAGATTCACTCATACGTAATGAATCTCATATACCTTTGACACAAATAAACAATGTAAAACATAAAAAAAACAAATGCACTCACAAATACTGTTAACTACCTTTACTTTTACACTTACCTTAACATGGTAGTGCAGTACAGCTGATCTAGGGGATCTCATGCAGTGAACTGATGAGGAGAGTAGTAACTGGAGGAGGGCGAGTAGGGGAAGATGATGAAGTCACATCTACCATCTTTTTGCCTCGGTCTCATCTCTCAATTATTTGCACTTTTGTTTCCATGGTTATTGCTTTGCATTTCCTAGAGTCCCCTCCACATCACCACTGCTTTTCCTCTTGCTTCCGGACATCCTGCACCCTGGCTGAGCACTGTCCAGTAAGCACACAGCAGCACAACTGTGACAGTGTCCAGCACACACGTGAGCTACTCCTGAGATTTGTTCACATCGGTGAATGCTCTTAATGCAAGGTCCATTCTTATCTGTGAAAGTTCTCAAGCCTGGAACTTGCTGTAGTCCTTAGATTAGGCTTTGTATATGTGCTACAGTCACTTTCCAGCAGGTGGCAGTCAAGTGTCTTGAGGTAGGGGTACTTTTATCTTGACACAGGAACCGAGTGGTGTTAAGTCCCTGCATCTGCCAAGCAGGAAGACTGAGGTTAATGGAGCAGGATGAAGAAGAAAACAGTTAGGGCCTTGCTTAACTGAAGAAGCAGGCAGGAGCAGAGAAAAATGAAGGACAGAGATGGTAAAGAAAGAGTAGGGGATATAATTTCCCTTCAGTTATGCAAATAGTTTTCTTTCCCACAGAACCATCATCTATCTGTGCAAGTCTTGGGTGTTAGTTCCAGGTGGGATTTGATTCTGATCCACTGACATCAAGTTCAGGGCTGTCTGCAGTGGATTTAAATCATTCATTTCCCAAGGTCAGTCATAGTGGTGCAGTATCTCAGTTACAGCCACAGAGTGTAGTAAGGAAATTCTTGTGACAGATGTTGCTGTCATATTAATTGGTCACTTTCCTTAGTTCCCATCTGGGGATTATACCCCTAAAAGACACATGACCCACTGAATGGCCAGGACCATGTCTGGAAAATAGAATTTGGAGGGAAATAGCTTTTTGTTTGTAACTTATCTCTGAAAAGAAATCCAGGCCTTAAGCTTCCACTTCTTTTTCCCACCTTAAAATGTTTCCCTGAAGAAATCATTCACTTCTGTGTACAACTATAACCCCAGCTACTTGAGAGGCTGGGCAGGAAGATTGTAAGTTCAAGTCCAGGATAGAGTCCATAATGAGACCCTGTCTCCAAAAAATGATAATAAATAGAAATAAAAGAAAAATCATTACACAAGGGCTCAAAACTAGATTTGGAGTCAGGAGAGCTAAGTCCAAATTCTAGCTACTAACTTGTTTGGGATCTAGGATAAGTCACTAAATCTGTAGTCCCATTGTCATCTGTAAAGTGGGGAATGGTACCCATCTCAATAGATTATTTTTAGAATTAAATGAAAGAATGAAAAAACAACTGCTTTGTAAGCTGTTAATGTACAGAAGATGAAGAGCCAGAGAGAGGTGAGGCTCAGCTCTCACACAGTCTCACCCCATCGCCTGCCATTTTAAGAAATAACCTTGTGCCAAGATGAGGATTTCATCCTCAACATGAAAGTTTTAAAAAAGTAGTTGTTGTCACAGTGGCATAGTTTCACATTCACTGGGTGAAGGACCTACTAGATTCTCTGGCTGCCTCCCTAGCTCCTCACCAGCAACCTTGGCTGAATATAGATGGGTAAACCTAGCAGCAGTCCTTTTCTTCAGTACTGGGAAAAAAAGGAGAAAGACTATCCTAACAGCAACTCTGTTTTTCTTGTCAGGTAAAGAGAGCTGCTTTGAAAGAATTGTGTCAAGGTTTGGAAAGAAAGTCACATATGTGGTGATTGGAGATGGACGGGATGAAGAAATTGCAGCCAAGCAGGTATCAGGGATAAAGAAAGCAGCCTAAGTGGTGTGCATCAAGCAATTAGAAAAATAGCAAAGTACAGAAATATTAGCAGTCTGTTAGGCATTTGTAGTGTTTCCTCCTCTTCTGTTTTTCTTTTTTTTTTAAGCACTTTTTCTCCAAGTAGAGTTTATTAGTTGTTAGATCCTCCTCTACCCCTCCTCCCTGCCACTCAAGAATCTTAAAAGCTTGGAGCCCTGCTACAGAGATTCCCATTGTCATCTGCATTGCCTTCTCGGGAACATCCTACTTAACTGCAAAAATGCAAATTATTCTGATTTTTCCAGGCTTCAGATTCTGGGGAAGAAAAATATATATAATCAATTGGCAGTTATTTCTGTAGAAAAAGTCCTCCGTTTTTGAGCCCTCAAAAGTTTGTTTCCATGGTGACACCATCACTACTGGTCCCAACCAACATCATCCACCTCCTTGTAATACAGGAAATAGTAGAACAGAGAGTCTTGGCATCTGGAAGCTGATGTCTGTACCCACCTACCATAAAGTTTATACACTGGAGCTTGCAGTGAAACTCTGACAGAGCACCTGCCCAGAATGCACAAGGCTCTGGGTTCATTGCCCAGCACTGCAAAAAAAAAAAAAAAGTAAAATACTAGTTGGAAATTTTCCTAATACTTTATTCTGTCCACCCCTCCTTGTGTGGGAAGGTCAGTCTCAACTATACAGTGAGACCCTGTCTCAAAAACAAAACAAGACTACATGAGTATAGCCAAGGACAAGGACTGATTCACAGGTACCCTGTTCCACCATGAGGTTACAGAGCTGTTAAGGTATCACTCCTTCCCCTGAGCAAACATTTCTCTCTTTTACATACTGATCCTAGTCTGGCACTTCTGAGCATAACAGGAAGTCTGCTTCCTTGTCTTTTTACCATAAAAAAAAACTGTCAAAAGAATTATATTCTAGGATCTCAGCACTGTAACTTGAACAACCAGTTTGAACAAGATAATCAGAAAAGCCTTTAACTTCACGGAGCATGTTTTTTTGTAGTACTTGGTTTATTAAAGCTCTCCTTTTAGAATTTGTGGTTTAGAACAAGCACAGTCTTCTTAACAAGATGCTGATCATATGATATGATGAGATTATTATTTCCAGATCTGTTCTACATTTTGGACATGGACAAGACTTAGACCCTGTAGCTCTGAAAGTTACAGGAAGTTGTCTGCAAGACAATGTAGACTTACACTAACACTAATCTTCTACAAGGGACATCTTTTCTTTAAATAAAAATGGGAGAAGGAAAGGAAACACTACAGATGCACAACAGATTGCTAAGATTTTTATACTTTTACCATTTTTCTAACAAATTAGTGTTAGAAATTTTCTATCTAATTTCTTATCTTGGCCACTTTTATTTGATCCTGAAGACCTTATATATAGCTGGAATAAGTATATGTCAAGAGCACAGAGTTACCACTAAAGCCTGATAAAAATTTCTCACGTTGATAAAGTGTCCTATAATGTATAAAAAGTCCTTGTACATACAACTTAAGTCACCCTCATGACAATACTGTGAGGCAGCTGGGAGAAGTTACCAAGTACTTCGAGGAGGAAGGGCTATGAATGAACATACGCCCCAGAAACAAGTTGGGTTAACCTGCTGTCCTCCCTCTCTTCCAGCACAACATGCCTTTCTGGAGGATCACAAACCACGGCGACTTAGTGTCCCTTCACCAGGCTTTGGAGCTTGATTTTCTTTAAGAACTGGAAATGAAGAGCCTTCCTTGTAAGCTCCTTTCTACTCCTGAAGGGAGCCAGAGGCCAAAACCAACTGGGAACTTGGAACATTCTCCCCTGCCCTTTCCTTTCTCCTTCCCCTCTCTCTCACCCACCCCTTCCCCGTGTCTTTCTCTCCGTGGAATGCTGGCGAGAACACAATCAGAACCAACAGCTATAATTTTTGCTAAGAGTGAACTGCAGCTCGGTGTTCATCCTTGTACAGATGCAGGAAACATTTGGATAGAGACAACAGTAGACTACAGTGCTTTTAATTCTTCTATTTTGTTTCCAAAAAATGAAGAAAAAGAAAAGGAAATTCTTGGGGCAGAGTTGGACTCAAGTCTATGGCCAGCCTCTTCACCAATGGTGATAGGAGAAATCAGCAGTTTTATAAAAACATCTCCTATCTCCTGAAGTCTAAGACCTCCTTACCTGTAGCGCTTCTTTCCACGCAGTGTGTGTTATAATAGGTAAAGGGTCTGGCCTCTGAAGTTTTCCTCACTTTTCTTTTTCTAGCAAGAAAGGGACATAGAAAGTCTCTGTGGAAATAGTAAATGAAATATTGGAAATACCTCTCTGTGGCCATAGCATCTCCTTGGCTGCTCCAGTGGTCCGCTCTCTCAAATGTTCCTTTCTGCCTGTGGGGCACTGGACACTGCTGAACTTCAGACTTTGGCAGTTCCCATCCTAGAAGCCTTAGTCCCCTTGCCAGTCCCTCTTCCCCATAACCCAACAGCACACCCTGGAAACTCCTTCCTTTCAATTCAGAGCCTTCAGCGTGACTCTTCATTCGGAGACTGTGTGCCAGGGGGCTTCACCTCCAAACTGGAAAGAAGGGACTTAGGCTTCTTAGGAATTTCAGGGTCTTTGGCTCTTGAGTCAGGAAGATTCCACCTCTTCCTCCTACAGAGAAGCACCCTTCCCCACCAGAAGCTCACCCTGCAGCCTCCTCTGTCCTAGCAGATGCTGCCCTCTGACCTCACATCCCTCTCCATGCAGCTCTGACCACTCCCTGCCCCTGGACTCAAGGAGTCAAATAAAGTCTAAAAACAGGCTTCTCATGACTTCCTTTCAGGAAGCCCTTCAGCCACAGTCAGGGTATCCCAGGCATCCGTTCACCCAGATCTCTGCCTGGAAGAGTGCAAACTGCTCTGATCAAAACCCAGTTTCCCATGGAACACCTCACTCCTCAAATCCCATTCTGAAATGGGAAATCAGAAGATCAGAAAGACTTCCTTAACTAAATGAGGGTGCTGGCTCCCTCTATGCCCCCTGGGAAGTGGGCAGAGGCCTGGGCCCTAGTCCCAGCCTTCTAGTCTAGCCCTGTGTGCTGGCTGCTGCCTCCAGGACCAACCTGAGCACCTGCTCAGGTAAGATAAAGCTGCCCAAGCTGAGGAGCTGCAGCACAGACAGGCTGCTGTGTACACACCTCGGAGATGCAGCCGTGGTCCTCGGTGAGGACGAGCTCTTTGACCGACCCCAGCTGACTGCTTATCCCCAGAGAGGTGGCTGCACTGGGTAGCCAGGTCACCCAGACAGCAACAGGCTGGCACAGACATTCCTTTCAGAGCTGACGGGAGAGTGCTTCACGACTTACAGTTTAACAGGGAAGTTTTGGGAGAGGAACTGCATCACTGGGTCACCTCTTCAGCTGCGTTTCCAAGTGAGGTGAGGGAAGGGGAGTCTGAGGCAGACCCACCTGGACTGCAGCACAGCTGCCCCAGTGCTGCCCTGCCTTGCCCGAGGGTCCATCTTAGCTCTTTCACGCCTCAGACTGGCCCCCTGTTCCCATTACCACCATTTCTTGCCCTGCACAAAGCCACCTGTCGGTGCTGGGCTCCGGGCTTGTGGGGCTGCACGGTGGTACCCCGCACACATGCACGTCGTGCACACAGCAGGCGGCTCATTAGTATATGACTTGGACTCCTGTTCAGCGGCCTTTTTCCCTTTAGTCCTGACTTCTCAGCTTAGCTCTTTTCAAAAGGGACTTGAACTTTGGCCAGGAGAGGCGAGGAGGCTCTCTAAGCAGAGCAGCCTGTGCACCATTCCAGCAGCTGCCACCCCCATTCAGAGGGCAGACAGAGCAGGGTGTCCTGGCTGTCAGAGGGCAGTCAGGGAATGCTACCTTTCTCCTCACTCCTCCTCCCTGGCGCAGGTGGCACCAAGAGCTGTTGCACTGTGGGTCTTTTCAGCAAGAGGTGGCTCCCTTTACTGGAATGAGAGCCCGTGAGATTGGCCCAGTGAGTCCTTCCTCAACCCTATACTCTCTCTGGTTGTCCCAGCTGTGACCTGGATGTCTCGGCCAGGGCTGTCTGTAGTGGCTCTAGAGGTATCATGTGGATAAGTGGATAAGTGGTGGCTTGACTTTCGAATGTAAAATTGTGCCTTAGCATCACTCTTCTGTACCCTGGGGCAGCTGGTGGTGGCCAGGAGAATGAGCACCTCCTGTGTAGGCTTTTGATGGCGGGGTGGGGGCGGTCCTGTCTTCTGCTCTGCAAATTGGGAGGCAAAACTAGTGTCCCAAGAGACTCTTGCCACAGTGTGTTCGCAGTTTACACGAACAGCTTCACAGCACCCAGGTAGAATCTCCTTGGCAAGCTGCAGCTGTAGGGCATGGAGCTGGAACACTCACTACCTTGAGTGGGAGTCAGTGCCACTGAACTGACCGAGCAGAGCACAGTGGCTTCCTCTTGTGGGAGAGCCGTGGTCTAGACCAGGGAGAGGGAGCTGGGCTTCCTCTTGCTCTCCACTCCCCCACGGGTGCACCGTCAGGCCCTCTCTTGAGCACTCTAACACCTTAACCATGAGAGGGAAGACCTGCTTGTGTCTCAGGCCCACCAGTGTGCTGTCCTCCCCGTCCCCTGCTCTGCACCAGCTCCAGCAAGCGGGGTTTCTTAGCGAGTTCCTAATGCACTGACGGAGCCACCCCAGGAAGGACGACGTCTCCCAATGTGACTCCCTCTGGACTTCAGATGCCTCTGTTGGTAGGAAAAGGCATTGATTGGGTTTGGATATATTTATGTGACTGCGGGCATTCGTGGCTGTAGAATCCTTGACCATAATGTTATATGTAATGGGAACTATCTTATAAACTTGAAAAAAATAAAATTTTTATTTTCTATACAGTTTTTTCCTGTTGTCTTTTCCGAATAGGTCAGCCCGGTTGCCCAACCTATGTAGAGTCCTAATCAGAGCTTCAAGTGTATTGTGAAGAGATTTTTAGAAAGATGTTACCCTTTCAATAACTGGGTCATTAACTTCAAAAAGTAAAAGCTAACCATCTGGTATAAATAAATATATATGGGAAAATGAAAGAAATGTTTATTTAACTTATGAGGAAGCATTTATTTCTGAATTGTTTTCTAAGAGACATTGCTTTTTAAGGTTTAGAACTGGAATAAGAGATTTCATTTGCTGTCAAATGTGCTGAACTTTAATATTAGAGAAGTTAATACTTGTGTTGAGCTTAAACCACAAAAGCAATAAAAACTGACAAATTGATACCAAGCCTCCTTTGATTTGGCCTGATTTCATTGTCACATCAACTACTTTTTATGAGGTAATTATATCCTATGAGACAATGAAAACGAGATGTGGGGGTTATTTCTAATGCTTGCAACATTCTTTCCCTTGATGATTCAAGCCACCAGTGGCGACCCCAGGCTCTGCTCCTTATCCCATTTGTAGGCCACAAACTAGTCACTGCTGACACAGCTCACCAGCTCACTGTGGGTGGGATCTCAGGGAGGCTTCCCTGGATATTCTAGAGTTGTCACTCCCAACATGAAAACACCTCCCTCTCACCTTCCTAGCACTACACTGTCTGATACAATAAATATTTATCCTGTTTACGGTGTCTCCCAAAAATGAATAGAACTGACTATCCTAAATCCCATCACAGTGGTGACTGGAACCTTTTCATTCTCTTAATAGGCCATCTATTACGGCTTTTATCTAGATGTCCCCACAAAGCCTCGTGTACTCAGAGGAGCGGCTTTTTGGAGGTGGCTGGATCTAAGGTGTGAATGTGGATTAAGGGTGTGTGAATATGGGCTAAAGGTATAACTGGATTAGTCCACTGACTGGTTTAGTGTTGCCCTGGGTGTGGATAATGAGAAGGCCCACCCTGGGTGTACGTGGCACCATCCAAAAGGCTTATAACCCTGATGGGCAAAAAGAAGAGACTTGCTTTGCTGCTGCTTGCTGCTTCATTGCCTCCTGTCCTCTGCCAAGTCGCCTTCCTTAGAGCCAGCTCACTATGGACTGAAACCTCTGCAAACTGAGTCAAGCCTTTCCTTCTTTAATTTGTTGAGGGTCAGGTATTTTGTCCCAGCAATGAGAAAAGACACCATCCTCTACCTGGTCTCTCACACTTCCTACTCCCAAAGATGTTTATGGCTACCCCTGTCAGGCCCAGCAGCACAGATGGTAGTAAGAGAATACACCGGAGTCCACTCAGCATCTGGAACTGAAAACGAGGATGAGAAATCACGCCTAAGGCAGCCTTCTTGTCTGCTCCAAGGGCCTTTACCAATTTCAAAGAATTTCAGGTCCCTGCCTCTTCTCTCCGGGAATGGTGGTAGGCTTAAATGACACAGACTGGAGGATTTTATGAGGTTTTAATAATAACCTTATAATACTGTCAAACATGTACCACGTGTCCTCACTTGCAGTGACACACACATTGTCTTCATCTAACACGGACTCTGAGGTAGGAGGGACACTGGCTAAAGAATAAAAATATTCAGCGGGCTGTGCATGGCCCACACCACAGGTCTACAAGGCACTTAGTTGAAAGGCAGCCCATGGAGAGCGGCACAGAGGCTGGGCCAGCTGTATGGAGACCCTGGAGGGCTGAAAGTCTACAGTTGGGTGTCCTGGACTCCACCACTGAGCTCCTACCCAGGACTGGTTCAGTCGGGTAGGGGATGAAGCTAGGTGGCAGCTGGTACCAAAGTTACAATGCTGTTCGTGGCACATACAATGCTTTCAGTAAACATTTGTTGAATAAATTAAATGAATGGGGTGGGGCTGGGAAGGAGTCTGGAGAACTCCTGGGGCCATTTAACCTGGGGTAGAGAACCAAGGGGTGGGACAGCATTTCTACCACTTGGAAAAGTGGCTGGAGTGGTGAAAATACCAACAATGTGAAGTTTGGGGTGCACCGCCTATACTGCTTCAGGAGAAAATGAGTCCTCTTTCCTGCCAACGTGGCTTGTGCATAATCAGCACCCGTGACCCTCTAGGCCCAGCTCTTCTCATCTTGTTCACACAGTGAACCCCTGTAGCTGGGTCTACACTGCTAAAGGACCCCATTCACCTCTCCCTTCCCTGGCAAAACACCCTCATCCTTAGCTTTAGGGAAGAAGCTCAATGCCAACTGAGTCATGCGCCTGTTCCAAAGCAGTTGATGATTTTCACAAGGAAAGAGATTCCGGCGCCCATCCACCCGGGTTCCATCCACCGGATCAGGCTCCCAGCGGCAACTAGGGTGCAGCCAGCGGTAGTAGCTAAGGCGCACAGCCAGACCTGCAAGGAAGCAGATGCCTCCCACAGCCAGACAAACACGTAATGAGATCTCACCGGGCAGCCAGGGGCTGTAGGTTACCCAGGTGGCCACCAGTAGAACACTGTCACTCAAGAGAAATACCAGATGGATGGTGGCCCGGCCTCGGGTGTGGCCCTCAGACACGTTGAACCAGGAGAAATAGAGGATGGTGGCCACCGTCACCCGGTATAGCCACTCAGAGCCAGGGTCCGGCATAAAGTCTGTACGCTGAAGCCAGACCCAGAGCAGCAGTACCAACCACAGGCCCAGGAAGTGCAAGGCCACATATTGGGGGAAGAGGGCTGAGAACAGGGCCACAGCCAGGAGTCGGGGGCACAGCAGTAGCAGGTTCCACAGGAAGTAGATGGCAGAGGCAGGCCAGCCCAGGCCGGGCTTGGAGGGAAGACAGGTACGCAGGGCCTGGTGGTAGTCCAGCAGCGCCCATGAGATGCTCAGCACGGACGTGCAGACGCCAAACCCTACACGGAGCAAGAGGAAACAGATGAGCCCTGAGGGCAGCCTGCCTGGCCCCCCACCCCAAGGCTCACAGGTACCTGCAGGGCCCTCCTAGCCACGCTGAGGGAGATACTGGAATCCACACTTGTGGAAGAGCAAACGGCAGCCAGGGAACACTCAGGGAGCTCACACCGCCTACCCAACACAGAGCAGGGATCAAGTGTGGAGACAGCGCTACCCCACAATGCTTCACTTTCAGGTGATGCTTTTCAAGGGTAAGGGGGTGTGTTATTCAGTCACCTAGCATTTGGCACCCCGAGGCCCGAGCATCCTCTAGAAGCCCACACTCTTTCTTTTCCCAGAAGAGGCTTGTTATAGATGATGCACGGGAAACGACTCGTTTAAATGAGCTTTGAAAGAGAAGTTTATTCCAGTGAACAGAGACTAAAACCGGGGATTAAAGTCAGGGAGAGATTCTAGCAGCTAGCTGAGAAAAGCCAGGTTTATTACATCCATGTGTGGAGGGGTGACCCTGGGAGAGAGATAGCAGCACCTAGCTGGGAGAGATTTCGTCCGTGAGTGGATGGGCTAACACTAGGAGAGAAAGAAATTAGCGCCTAACTGGGAAAGGAGGTAGGGCTTACACAGGTATTGAAGGGGCTAAGGAATCTGGGGTGAATGTTTATGATCGAGTCCAAGGACAGTGAGCACAGGTGTGTAGACATCACTGGACTTTTTGGCACTGGGGAGACTGTCTTCTGTTTACTGAGAAATAGCCTGTCATTTGCTGAAAGTGGCCCGTCTGCTTGTGAAGATCCCACTTCAGTCGGGAGTGACAAGAATGACAAGCCCAAGCCTTTCCTAGATCTGAAAATCAGCAATCTCAGCTCCTCCTTCCTCCTGGTCAGAAAGGGGCATAGGAGACCCCATGAAGTTCGGAGGGCCAGGAAGGACATCCCTCTGTGGAAGTTCTCCTCCACTTACGACCTGGGCCCAGGTCTTGATTTTCCAAGATCCAGAAGTTTATGATCAGGGTCTTCCCCTAACCCTGACTGCCACCCCAGGCTAGAAGCACCAGGGCCTCCAAGGAAGGACGGAAGCTGGGATGTCTGTGTTGCTTCTCCTGCTCCCTTCCACCGCTCTCATCCAACAGAGGTTTACCGGGAACCTATTCTGTGCCCAGAACCCACTCCAGTCTGGCATCAGCGCTGCAGCCACCACTCCAACTACCCACCCTCTAGGTCAGATGTTCTCCCTAGTTTGCCCAGCATGCCGCATTCTCTGATCTTACAAGCTTTGCCCAGGGGCACATTTCCCACACCTACTCCTCCTCACCCCAAAAGCCCCATCCTGAATATCCCTTGAGGTCACTTCTCTGCTGAGTCAAGTGTCCTTGTAATATACCATCCACCTCTGCCTGGAGTCTTATCTCACAGTTAAAAGTACAGTTTCTATTTCCTTATCTCAGAGCTCCTAGATAGTAGGAAAATTCTGTTCATCTGGGCTTCCCAGGCAGATAATAAATGCTTGCTAAATTGGAAGCTGAGCCAGGCGTGGTGGCCATGCCTGTAATCCCAGTACTCAGGAGGCTGAGGCAGGAGGATCTCTGTGAGTTCGAGGCCAGCCTGGGCTACATAATATGTTCTCAAGGCCAACCTCAACTACATAGCAAGTCCCTGTCTCAAAAAAAAACAAAAAAATTTAAAAGTTTTAAAAATTAGGGCTGGGGATTTAGCTCAGCGGTTCAGTGGCCTGCCTTGCAAGCGCAAGGACCTGAGTTCAATCCCTGGTACCAAAAAATAATAATAATAATAAAAATAAATAGGAAACTGAGAAAAACCTGTTTCCTTCCACCCAACATACTGTATAGCCTGTCTCAAATTGGCCCTGGTCCTAGAAATTTACCACCTTTAGACAGACAAATGAGCCAGGGATTTAGCTCAGTGGTTCCACCGCCTGCCTCACAAACACAAGGTCCTGAGTTCAATCCCCGGTACAAAAGAAAAGGCAGACAAATGAGAACAGGTGAATACTGAGTGTGGTGCCACACTCCTGTAATCCCAGTACTCCGGAGACCAGCCTGGGCTACATAGCGAGACCCTCTCAAAAAACCAAAAACCAAACCAAAACAAAAAATAATATATGAGTGAGTGCTGAGTGGCCTGGGATGTCACTTCACCCGTCTGTACCTCTTTCCTCTTGTGTGAAGTAGAGATGGACGCCCCCGAGTTACACTACGTGATGACAGGTGAGGGCTTCGTTCCCTGGGATATAGTGGCAGGGACGGCAAGGGGCCCTGGAGTGTGCGGGGGTAGTAAAGGGCAAGAGAAGGCCCTGGACTCTGAATCAGCTGTAGATGAAGTCCGGCCTCGGCTGCTGGCTGGCCCTGGGACCCTGGACAAGTCACTTTCATTTTACGGGAAGACCTCCCTTCCAAGGCTGCGCAGTGAACAAACTTCTCCCATGGTTTATGAGGCTCTGCCAACTTCTGCCGCTGCCTCTCCCTCTGCTGACCACTCAGCACACTTAGTGTAACTCCCTCCTTGTTTTACGATCTTATCATCCGGGTAGAGCAGAGGCTCTGTATATCTCATTCACTACAGCATGCCCAGCACAGTGGCGGGCCCAGAAGATCCTCACAATAAAACCCTTGTGTGTAAATGTGCTCAATAAATTGCTTCCTAACACACGTTGCCTATTACATATCATATGCAAGTACCCTGCATCCTTTATCCATTACATCAAAACAGTAAAAATTATAATTAAGGTTTTTATGAAACTTGGAGGGAGGGGCTACAGGGTGCTAGGGAGTTTGAAAATATTCAGAGTATTTTATATGCATGGACAAATCTGGCAAAATGAAACCCATTCATCTATTTCACCAATATAAAAGAGTGGGAAAAGATTTATTAGGTACCCAGCACTGGGCTTTATATGCATCCCTCCATTTAATCCTTTCATCAACCCTGTAAGGTATATTATATATATAAGGTATATTATGGCCTTGAACTTGCAGTGATCCTCCTGCCTCAGCCTCCAAGTGCTGGAATGAGGGGCCTATTGAGTCATTTTTTTTAAAGTTACGTATTTTCCCAAACTTGTACAGCTGGAGAGTGACTTTAAATTTGAACCCAGACCAACTCCCTACTGCTTGGTCTCCTATTTTCTCAGCAGCCTGTAGAAAAGGGTAAAAACACTACTGACACAGACAGGAGAGAAACTGCCAAGCCCTCAGAGGGGGCCGGCTGCCAGCTGGGCACTCACACTGGTAGTTCTCGGCCTGGCCGCTCTGCAGCATGATGGCCAGCACCAGGGTGAGCTGTGGCGTCGTCTCCAAGAAGGTCTCAAAGAGCCGCAGCATGCTGATGTCCAGAGAGAGGAAGTCGGCATAGGCCAAGTCAAACTCGGAGGGTGTCTCCTGCTGCCACACCAGCAGCCCCTGCCACAGCCCCTGCAGGCACCTAGGCACACACAAATGCCCACAGGGCCGGGTCAGTGTCCTGTGCAGTCCCTGGCCTCCCATCCACCTGGTCTAGGACAAGCTCCAAGCCTAGCGTTTCACACACATGCTAAGGGGCCCCGGCAAGCTGCTAACTTCTCAGAACCTGTTTCCTCGCCTATAAAACAGGGATAAATACAACTTCTGCCGGGCGGCCACTGTCCCAAGCCCAGCACAAACTTTGTTTTGTTTATTCCTCACAAGGGCCCCATTTACAAAAAGGGAAAGCCATCAAGAAGCTACAAGCTGGGGAATCAGGGTTGGGTCCAAAACTTTGCTGCATGCTGTAGAGTTTATCCAAGGCAGTCCTCAATTTCCCAAGGTGTAAGAATCTCCTGGGATCCCATGGGCAAAGGCACTTTGTAAGGGCCAGCCAGAGGCAGAGGGTGCTTTAACCTGAAGAGTGTGCTGGCCGTGCAGAGGAGGCAAGGGTTAGTGTGGAAATGGAAATCCCTTTTAGCAGGCTGCTGTGCAGCCCCAGAAGAAATCCGGAGAGCTTGGCCAGGAGAGGTGAGGACAGAGGAGACTGGCACAGATGTGAGGGAGTCTAGAAAGAGGCCTTGGGGAGCCACCAGCATGAGGGGGGCATGGAGAAGGCACCGAGGTCTTCCCCACCCAGAAGGGACCTCACGTGGCCCATCCACTCACTGCAAATCCACTCGGCACGCACCGATTGTGACCGTTGCTGCCCTGCTGATAACATGGAGAAATAAGAGCTCTGGTCCCCAATATCCCAACAGAGGCCCCATCTTAGCCTCCTTATGGGTAGGAACAGAGTGCCTGTTCTCCAACCCAAAGCTGGCCAGACCCAGGAGGAGGAGGAAAGCAGGGTGAGAGACCTGCTGGGACTACTGTAACTGCCCCTTCAAACCCACCCATATTTGACTGGTATCTTACGGTCCCTCAAGCAAAATGGCAACATTCAAAGATCCTTTCCCCATGCACAGCTGGAGACTCCAGGCAGCTTTGTCAAGATCTGGAGAGAATTCATACAAATGGGTTCCAGAGCAGATTCTGCCTCCAGCCGCAGCGACCCAGACCACACAATGACATCCTGACTTTACCTCATGACTCTGACCCCATGCTTTCAGTTTCTCCTGCTCAAAATAATCCACCACTTCAAATTCACTTAAGTGTCTCCATCCTTTTGGGTCCCCTGACCGTTCTGAAAAGAAGCACAGGCCACTACATTTTCCAAGACCCCGTCTGCCTGGCGCCTGGTGTGCCCAGCACCCGTGGCTGCCCTTCCACTCCGTCTGGGGGTGGGAAGTAAACATTCAGGGAGAAGCAGCAACTGGGAAAGGGGGCTGGGGCCAGGCATGATGGCACAAGCCTGTAACCCCAGCTACTCAGAAGGACGAGGCAGAAGGATTACAAGTCGGAGGCCAGCCAAGTTAACAACACTTTGTCTCAAGAAACGAGAGCCAGAAAGAGAGAGAGAGGGAGAATAGAAAAGTAAAAAAAGGCTGAGGCTCAGCACTCCCTGGGCTGAATCCCTGGGAAAGGGAAAGGGAAAAAGGGGAGGGGGAAGGAAAAGTGAAAGAAAGAAAAGCGGGAGGGAGAGAGCAAGCAAGGCACTGCTCTGGGGCTGGAGTCGCCCAGAACTCTCAGGGTGGCCCAGGCAGCATGAAGCTAGCTGTCCTTTGCCAAATGTCTGCAGTGTGCCCGGGCAATTTACAAGGGTCATTTGAAGCAGGGATGTAGTTCAGTGGCGTCGCACCTGCTTGGCAAAAGCAAGGTCCTGAGTTTAATCCCCGGTACCAAACCAACTATGGAGCTACAGGTGTCATTTTGCTTAATCCTCACAAAGCAGAAACTGGCACTACTACCATCCCCACGGGCACAAGGAAACAGGCCTGGGAGGATGAGAGATTTGCTCAAAACCCTACCCACAGCTAAAGGAACAGACCTCCCGCTGGCACTGCGGCCAGGCCTCGCTACCTCCCCGCCTCTTTTTAGAAGTGGAAACTGAGGTTCAGAGAAATGCAAAAGGTAAGCCAGAGTTGGATCCCGGAGAAGTCTAACTCGAAAGCCTATTAACTCCCCTCTTTCTTCGCCTGTGCAGGAAGGGGATGTTGCACGGCTCCGGGGGCAGCAGCCAGGCTCCCTCGGCGCCCGCGGCCGCTCGCCTGCAGGGCCAGC